TAAGAAGTAAGATAGAACCGGATAGTCTACTTGCTATAATGTTAGCGTGACTTTTACAGGAATGACACCCGGTTCTGATGATGGTTATAATATGATGGACGAAAGCTCAGCACGTTTTCACCAGAAACGGCGTATGAAATCTTATGGACTGCTTCAACGTGAATATCGTATAAAAGCCAAACAGCGGCAGTATAACGAGATTTATCCGTCCTCATTTAGTGAGATTGACCAACGAATCTCTTTCCAATTTACTTTTATACGAAATGAAAGTTACCTAACAATGTTATCTCAAGAGATTCTTCGAAACCCAGTTTCTCTTTGTATATCTTTGTTTACTCGTACTGCTGATTAAATAATCCGTCATAACCTGTCTTACTGTCTAAACACAGGCCCCTCTGGCATCCCATCGTAGTTAAATACTGATTTAATCATCAGAACCCTATCGAGGGTCGAACTTCATACCCAAAAAAAGTTGAAAGAGAAAATACATTAGAGGACTACTCATTCCTCTGTAAAAATTTCATAAAGTAAATTTTATTTACGTTGATTCTTCACGCTTTGGTCTTCATATTGGTCCTGCTATTTTTGTTCAAGTGACTGTGTCTTGATGTCACTGCAAAATATCGGTGATAAATCAGTGTTCAAAAGAATAATGTGAGGCTCTGGTCATCAAGGCTTAATAATCCAAGAGAAACCCCTGAGCTAGACTGTGTAAGTCTGTAGCAAGTATGGTTGAGATAATGAGATGTAAGCTTGTAAGCATGTAAGAAAGTTACGACTATGGTTGCAGTCTGCCACCTTTTCTCTTGGCTTAGTATATTTTTGATCTATTTCGTAAAGTATGGATCCCTGCTCTGGTGATGTCTGTCAGCACAGTTTCATCGAGGTCACAGGACTTCTTCACACAATCCAACGCTCTCCCATACGCGGATGAGACCACATTAAGTATTTATTCCTACCAACTTTCCTTTCGAAATGAAGAGTCATATCGAAATATATCACCAAGGGATTCTTCGGAACCCATTTTTTTTATTCATACGGTCCAACTAAGTCGTCCTGACAACACGACCAAGTTGCGAAAACGAGATCAATCAACTTCCGAAGGATTAGAGTGTTTACTAAGTCCTCTTATAAAGCTGGAGAAATAGATAATAGATAACGAGGACTTTTAACTAGGGATCTTATATAATAATAAAAAACATGAGGAAAATCGGGAAGAAATCCCATTATGTACATGAAATTTATTAGAAGGGTACAGGTAATGAAAAAAAACAAGCAGAAAGGAGAATGCATAGAGTTTAATAAGTGATCAAATAAAAGGACAGACCCATTAATATAGCAAAATTCCAATCCTATTGAAAATTTGTGGTGAAGATTGGTTGTATCCTCCAAAGGAACAGTATTATGTAGCTTTGTACAATATACAAGAGTAAAGAATAAAGGAAATTATTCAATCAGTGAGGTGTGCTATGGCTAGTCCAATCGCTTTAGGTTTAGCAAGTTGTCTGTCAAAGATAGGCCCTCATTAGGTTTGGCTTCTTTAAATTCGAGTCCAGGCAACAACACAACGTTATTTGAAGCCCCATTCTCTTCGCTTGAATCAGCAGACACGGATGCTCCAGTTTTAGTAGTAGAATCTGGCTTAAATCGCTCCAGTGGGTCAGCACAGTCATCTATGCTAGATGAAGATTGATCGGCCAAGCAGCTTGCAACTTGAGGCCGGATGACTGGATGGGGCAGCAAGGCTGATCTGACGAGAGGTGATGAAGAAAAAAGGAGGTGACTAGGGGTTAGGCTAACAGCCAAACTGCCTGTTCCAGGACGAGATGTATCACCAGTTCGCGAAAGAGTGGAGGGGCGACTAAGAGAAGCAGTGCTTGAGCTGAGTAGACGACGTGCGGCCGGAGAGAGCAGTTTCGAGGTGTTTGCTAAACGAGGACTGAAAGATGAAGTGCAACGATGAAATGTTAAGAAAACGTAAAAATTGGTTTCGAAGATGTCAAGATAAGCAAAAAATGACAAGTCTATCAAAAAGCGGGAATGTACCCAAAGGCTGATAATATAACTAAATTCC